ATTTTATGAAATGAAATTAGATCAAGACATAATAAATGCTTGGATGCAAAGACGTCTGCCAGCAGAGTCAACACATGAACCCTGGGGCCTGCCCGGCGCAGGTCCAGGCCCAGTGCCCCCTTTGGGGCAGGGCTCTGGCTTCAGTCCCCGGCTGCCCCCATCACATGGGATGGAGTGAAGTGCCATGAGGACCAATGCCATACCATGCTCAGACGGCTTTCCTCCCCTGCCAGCCTTTCCAAACAGGGTGGGGGGATGGTGAATTTAGAAGCAAGGACTCTGGTTCTATTTTTGTTTGCAAACAGATAAAAGTCAAAGCTATATTGCAAAAAATATGGCTTTAAGGGTTAGAAATATTAATATTTCCCTCATGTGCCCATACTTGCTACCTCTGTGATATCTGTTACTTATTAAATCCCTTGAAACTTCAGTTTTGTTCATCTGTAAACTGGAGGTAATAATTTTCCACCTTCCGGACTCACTGCAAAGATTAAATAAGATAAAGTGTGTGCATTAACTAGCTGACAGCAGCCACTCAGCCAATTATGGGATTCATGTCTATCCTCAGTATCATTCACAAATGTCAGTTCCTAGATGAAGCCACACCACCATAATCGCACACACCCACACCGTCCTCTGTATGAACCGGTTTACAAAGCGTGCTTGCAATGGGGACCAGATGGAACATTGTTGAGCAAAACGAAGTTGTAGACAATATGCTGCCCTCATCTGCCCACCCATCCCCACCCCACAGCTCAGGGACAAGCCAGATGCCTCCCCCAGAGAAGGCAGGTGCCTCCAAGCCCACACATCCTGCTAGCTCTGGCTTACTGCTCACCAATGTTGGCTTTAGGCTCATCACTCAACCTCACTGAACCCTGATTTCAGCACCCATGCCATGGAGCTCCTATGAGATCATGCATGTAGGACAGCACTACTCACACCCGAACAACATCAGAACCCAGGGCATCCCTCCCTTCCCTCTTCCTTTCACACCACAACCAAAACCCGGGGTCATTTCTTCCAAAAGACATCCTGCAGCTTCCCACTGCTTATTGGATTCCCAGCCATGACTGCAGCACAGGTCACCACGGCCCCTCCCAGGTGACGGCAGCCACATCCACCAGGAGCTGGAGGCCTCCTCAAAATGCAGATTCCTGGGCTTTGCCCCAGAGACTCTGACTGAGCAGGCCTGTGGTGGAACAGACAGTGTGTATTTCTAGCAAGTGCATAGGGGGTCCAGGACCACACCCCGGAAGCAAGGGTGCATGGCCCAACGCTGAAGCTGGCACACAGTAGGTGGTCAGCCAATGTTACCCACCTCACTAACACTTTGATTACTACTGTTATGCTAGTTCATGAACACATTTTTAGAATTAACAAAATCTCCTGGGAAAGCTGTGTCTGTGTCTTTCCAGGCATCCCTTGGCCTCTGGACCCCCAGCACCTGGGGAACTCAGGTTTCCAGCAGGGCACGACCAGCAGCAGTTGCTCTGCAGGTGCCTCCTGGGGACTTTCACTGCCCTTACATCTCTAACCCTCAGCTAACCGCACAGCCTGGAAATCATGTTAACATCATTGCATGAATCAGGAAACAGAGGCATGGGAGAGTTGCCTGCTAAATGGGACCAGACTACAACAGGACAGAACAACATATCAGAGGCGCATAATTCTAAAGATGGCTGCCCTCATTTTCTCCACTGCCCAATTTAATCAAACTACCATAAGATGTTGTTTTGTTTTTCTGTAATGGCTTGGCATGTTCCTTTGACTTCACTGAACAGTTATTTTGACAATGAGCAGACACGGCCTGACTGTCAGAGTATACTGTGATATGATCTGAGATAAAAGGGAAAGAAAACCCAAAGTCACACTTAGATGTCAAAGATTTCCTCGTGAATGGCACTGTGGGCCTGGACGGCTCCACCAACATGCTCTTCGCCCAGGTGCATCATCCCCTTGACCCAACAAGGCGGCAGGAGGTGCTGGCCACTGCGGCAGAGAGGGTTACGGGCTTCCCCCTCTCCAGTCCTGGGCTTCGCACTCCCAGGTGGCCTCGCTTAGGAAAGCACTGATTTAATTTAGTGCAAGGATTCTCAGATTGCATCTGTTCTATTCTGTGCCACACTCTCTCTCCTTGGCAGCTGCCGGCTTCCCCACGATGGCCTGCTGGAGACCACACATCTGCAGTGTGGGCTGCAAACGGAATGCTCAGCAGCCTGGTAGCCGGCTGAGGCATCCTGAGCAGGGCTGCTTGTTTCCAGGATCTGCAGCAGCACCCGGAACCACCACTGCAGACTAAGGGGAGCTGCCTGGGAAGGGAGTTCTGATTGGAAAGGGATGCGGAAGCAGGCCCTGCAAAGGGGACTCACCTCCACAGGTATCTTTATAAAAGTGTCAGCCCCTCTTCTCTGTTGCGGTTCTACCACAGGGAAATCCATTCTCAAAGAGCAATGAAAAGGGAGGCTGCAGCCAGTGGCCCTGAAAGCTCCTCTCTACGCCCATAGTGAAGGCAACACCTACACCCACCCCCCAAAATGTTTCCACTTCATCTCCAAAAAAGTGATCAGAAGCCGCTATAGAAACTGCATTTCCCATTTGCAGCTAACCAAGTAATAGAAATCCTCTTCACTGTCTAATGTATCGAACACCATGAGTTCTCAGACCCAAGCCTGAGAGGCTCTTACTGTGTCCAGAATAAAATTACTTTCTGAGAAAGACTCTAGACACAGTCTCTGCAGTTGTAGCCTTGCTCTTTATTATAATGATGATCTTTGGAATAGAGACGTTGTCCATACCTTGCCCTGCACCAGAGACTGGGGCTTCAATCCGAGCACACGGAGCGGCAGAGACCACGGACACCACAAAGGACTGGTGTCTCCTTTGGCCTCTCCCTGCGGCCCCTTGCCATCTCTCCAGGGCTCCATCCGCCCAGCACTCTGTGGCACTTTTACATGGATGTCTCAGCGGCTGGGCCCCACGAAGGTGGGTGTGTCCCTATTCTTCCCCATATGGAGATGACGCAGGGCTGGGGTGTACAAAGGAGACTTCGGGGACGCGTTTGATGTCACCTGTCCAGCTCCTGGGCCCAATCTGTCCTTCCCTTGCAAGACTGCTCTTGTCTATTGGCAGCATCAAGGTGCAGTTTATGTGGCATGGCAGGCTCTGCCCACCATGGGCCTGTGCCCACACCCATTTCTCCAGCTCCTGTGTGTCCCAGTCTGGCACCTCATCCTGCAGCAGGGTTCACTCACGTCTGCCTCCACTCCACAGCCACCAGGCCCTGCCAGACCCAGGAGTCAGGCTCCCCACCCTATGCTTGTGCTGATGGAGAAGGGGTTCTGTGGCATTCGTGGGACGAAGTCACAAGAGAAGCTCGGACAGATCCTCAAGATCAAAGCTGGGTCTGGAACAACTGCTCAGCCTAGCCCCAGCAGATAAAGATTTCCCCATTGTGCCCCTCCGGTTACACCCCTGCCTGCGAAGGCTGCCCAACTTCTCGTGCCCTGTCAGGAAGCACTTGCCCTCAGGAGGACCACAGGCCACCCACCACGCTCCCCTGCTCCTCCTTGGATGGCAGAAAGAGGGGCCAGTCACCACTCAAGATGTGCAGGGGAAAACAGAAACCCCATAAGGCCAGGGTGGATTCTCCTCTCACTCGTCCAACAAACCCAACCAATACAGAAGCCATCAAGAAGCAACTGCTGGGCTCAGCCAGGCAACCTGTTTCAGAAGAAGCACCTGCCAGGCTCAGTTGTGTGCAGCCCTGGTCCCGAACCCTAGAAGCTGGAGAGGGACCCTCTGCACCTTGGAGGCATCTTCAGCCCTCCCTGAAAACACCCCACGGGCGCCCGGCACCACCCCCACCCCGGGCCAGCAGAGGAGCGCCCTTTCTCCCTCTTTTGGTTGGGCAGATAGCAGCGGGCCATGGTAACGCCGTCAGCTCACTCTGTAATTGGCAAGTAGAAATGTCTTTCTCTGATTAATAAAAATGTGAATATAGCTGATTTCTGAATGAATACTCTGCACTTGCTAGAGAAAAATATTTCCAATATTTTCAAAATGTAGGTTGCATAAGGGGCAACCAACAGGATGCTCTGTAGTGAAAAAGGCTGGGAATCGAAACCTTTAGAAGCCTTATGTTGGGGAGGAACGGCAGATGTCATGCTGAGATGTGCCATTTCCACAAGCAGGGCGTTCACCTGGGGCAGGTACACGGGGGCTGCTGTGGAACTGGAATCTATTTTATAGGAAGGATTCTTTAGCAAGGAAATCAAAACCCTTCTTTTCTCCTCTCTCATTAAGATAAATAGGGCCGGGCGCGGTGGCTCACGCCTGTAATCCCAGCACTTTGGGAGGCCGAGGCGGGCGGATCACAAGGTCAGGAGATCGAGACCACGGTGAAACCCCGTTTCTACTAAAAATACAAAAAATTAGCCGGGCGCGGTGGCGGGCGCCTGTAGTCCCAGCTACTCAGGAGGCTGAGGCAGGAGAATGGCGTGAACCCGGAAAGCGGAGCTTGCAGTGAGCCGAGATTGCGCCACTGCACTCCAGCCTGGGCGACAGAGCGAGACTCTGTCTCAAAAAAAAAAAAAAAAAAAGATAAATGTAGCCCACCTGGGCCTGGTGTTTCCTGGCACTAGGGTCACCCCATGCACACAACCCTAGCACCTAAATGAAGGACAGCCTCCCAAAGGCCATGTGCCTTCTACCCAGCAGACACTCGCTTCGGTCATGAAGCCTCTTCAGAAGGCAGTCCCGCCTCTGCGAGGACACAGATGCATCTGGGGTGAGGCAGCCCGAATGCCTCCACCCGGCCCCCAGGGTCCCCTGACTCTGACTTCTCCCAGCCTATCCTCCAACTGGGCAAGGGCTGACCCAGCTGTAGCAGGAGCTGTCTGGGCTTCCTCGCTTCTTCTCTTCCTTAGCTGGGATTGTCACCCTCACCCCTGCCCTGTCAACACCTGCACACCAGGTGCGACAGACCAAGGAGGCCTTACCTCATGGGACAAGTAGAAGGCTGCGATGCCCAGAGGCCAGAAGCAGCAGAGCATGGAGAAGACACTGAGGCCCAGATGGTCCCGCGGGGGCATCATGAGGAAATTGTCCTCACTCTCTGTGTCGCTCGAGTAGTCGCTCTGCAAGAGAGAACCAGCAGGACAGGACAGGAGAAAAGATTAATACAGGAGTCATCCTGGGGTGTCCAGGGATGTGGGATGATGCCTGGCAGGCGCAGGCCCTCCCCAGGAGGCAGCTGCAGTTGCTGATGTCGTTTGAGCCATCGTTACTGCTGTAAGTACACAGCCTCCCAGGAAGGGCAGCCCGGCCAAGGAAATGCTTGCCAAGAACAGGAAGATAATAATGCCAAGTATGGGGCTCTTGGGTCATTCAGTTGCAGAAGAAATCCTACAGAAAGCAGTATTTCTAAGATCACTGGGATGTGAGTGCCTGGATGGTGGGGACAAAGGATGGGACTGGGGACTTCGCAGGGACTGCCTGCCTGGAAGCCACCTGCAGAACTGGCCCCGTTGCCACCATGCACTGTCAGTGTGTTCTGAGGATGGAATGGAGACTCTCAGAAGGGATAGCCCAGGCGTGTTTTTCTTTGTATTCCGAGACTTCTCACTAGTGGACAAGGACGAGGCAAGGCTGATGTGGATCGACAGAGGACACTGTCCCCTGAATCTCTCTTTTAAGTTTCCCTTGACTCTGAACTGAGTCAAGACATAGGTGGGGCCTGATTTCCACCTGGAGCATGAGGGCAGCTTCCTGAGAAGCAGAGAACAGCCCAGTGAGCCTCAGCTGTGCCCTTCTGCTCTGTGGCCTGATGGCAGGGGCTGAGTGAGACCCTCCTAGGGGTTCTGATGGAGAAGGTATGTGCTGGGAGCAGGGAATCAGGGTGAAGCTGGGTACAGGAATTTACTTTTTAATTTTATATTTTAAAAAATTTTTTTTTTAGGTTCAGGGGTATGCGTGCAGGTTTGTTTTATAGGTAAACTCATGTCATGGGGGTTTGGTGCACAGATTATTTCATCACCCAGGTATAAGCCTAGTCTGCAGTAGTTATTCTTTCTGCTCCTTTCCCTCCTTCTACCCTCCAACCTCTGGTAGGCCCCAGTGTCTATTATTCTCTTTGCATCCATGGGTCCTCATCATTCAGCTCCCACTTACAAGTGAGAACATGGGGCATGTGGTTTGTGATTCCACAGTAATTTTTTTGTTGTTGTTTGTTTGAGACGGAGTCTCGCTCTGTCGCCCAGGCTGGAGTGCAGTGGTGTGATCTCGGCTCACTGCAAGCTCCGCCTCCCGGGTTCACGCCATTCTCTTGCCTCAGCCTCCCAAGTAGCTGGGACTACAGGCGCCTGCCACCACGCCCGGCTAATTTTTTGTGTTTTTAGTAGAGACGGGGTTTCACCGAGTTAGCCAGGATGGTCTCGATCTCCTGATCTTGTGAGCCGCCCGCCTCAGCCTCCCAAAGTGCTGGAATTACAGGCGTGAGCCACTGCGTCCGGCCAATTCCACAGTAATTTTTAAAAAGCAGCTCAGATGATTCCAATGCTGACCTAGCAAAGAGAACCATTGCCCCACCCTCCCCACAAAGGGCACACGGGTCCTCCAGGAGGCTGACTGGCTGGGCCCTGCCTTGGTGTTTGTGCAGAGGGTGCCTCCTGGCTGTCATTCCACTGGCTGGGCTCTTTCCTCATCAAAATACGAAGTGTTCACGCCAACTCTTCCAAACCCCAGGGCCACCCTGTATTTGTCCTATACGAAGTTGAAGCCCATCTTACTCCAGATATTGTTTCCTAGAAGAGTAGTGGCTCATTTCCTCTTGGAGGAGGCCCTGGCTTCCTAGCTCTCTGCCAGCTGCCCAAGGTTGTAGAGCAGAGGCCCCCTGCCGCAAGCTGGAGCACTTTGAGAACGCAGTGGCAGTGTAAGGCAGTGACAGGGCCATTTCTTTAGGGGGCTCCCGGACAGACCCTGTGAAGCCAGACAAAAGTGCAGGTGGGCCCACCCTGTGAGTGCAGCACTTGCATGGATGCCAGCCCGCTGCTCACCACTGGTGTCTGTGCGCCCCAGACATTTCTCCATACTAATAGACTCTAGGAAGGCCCACAAGTGACCACGGCCCCCTTTCCTATTTCTGTTAATTAAACACAGGTAAAACTGCCAGTTAGAGCCTCTAATCACTGTGCAGCCAGCCATGGTGCTGCAGTGAGACCTGAAGCTCCCTGGTACACCGCATTTTCATAGGCTCAGTCCAACAATAAGGACTTTCCAGGTGGCCTCTCGTGGAGCTTGGGCTTACTGTTTACTTGCCCCCCAACAAGCCTGCAGGGCAGGGATCTGAAGTGCCACTCCACCAACAGGGCAAGCGACTTGCTCAGGCTACAGGGCCAGCTCCTGGCCTCGCCCCTCACTGCATCTACTGTGGTGGCTGCTTCATGTGTCTGGGGCTGCAAAGCCTCTGTCCACAGAGCCATGCTTGTGAGATTTCTCTTCTCTTTATTCTGCACATTGGCCCCCATATAGTCTCTGAACAGTAAGGGGATATGAAAATTGCCATCATTATGGCTAAGGGGGAAGAAAAGCGGAACAGCCCACAGGGATGCATAATTCATGGGGGAGTTGTGAGGCCCCAGGCTGTCCAGGCGGAGATGCTCACTTCCCAGCCTCGGGTGCTGGAGTCTGGAATCTGTAAGAAGGACAAGTGGTGGGTGGGAAGGATAAGCAGTGGGGAGGGTGTGCCGCGTGGAGGATGTGCAGAGGGGAGGATGTGCAGGGGTGAGGATGTGCAGGGGTGAGGACGTAAAGGGGTGAGGACGTAAAGGGGTGAGGATGTGCAGGGGGAAGGACGTGTAGCGGGGAGAACATGCAGTGGGGAGGACATGAAGTGGGGAGGACGTGTGGGGGGATGACATGCAGGTGGAGGACGTGGAGTGGGGAGGACGTGCAGGGAGGAGGATGTGCAGCGGGGAGGACATGCAGAGGGGAGGACATGTGAGGGGAGGACATGCGGGGGGAGGTCATGCGGGGAGAGGTCATGCAAGGGGAGGCCATGCAGCGGGGAGGCTGTGCAGGGCGGAGAGCATGCATGGGGGAGGACGTGCAATGGGGAGGATGTGAAGGGGGGAGGCCGTGCAGTGGGAAGTATGTGAAAGGGGGAGGAGGTGTAGTGGGGAGGACGTGCAGTGGGGAGGATGTGCAGGGGGTGGACGTGCAGCAGGGAGGACTTGTAATGCGAAGGAAGTGCAGTGGGAAGGGAGTGCAGCAGGGAGGATGTGAAGGGGGAGGACATGTAGTGTAGAGGATGTGAAGGAGGGAGGCCATGAAGCGGGGAGGATGTACATGCAATATGGAGACTGTGCAGCGGGATGTGCGGCAGGGAGGATGTACAGCAGGGAGGACATGCAGGTGGGAGGACGTGCAGTGGGGAGGACGTACAGGTGGAAGGACATGCAGTGGGGAGGACGTGAAGGGAGGAGGCTATGCAGTTGGGAGGACTTGCAGGGGTGAGGACCTGCAGAAGGGAGGATGCACAGGGGTAAGGACCCGCAGTGGGGAGGATGTGCAGGGGGGAGGACGTGCAGTGGGGAGGATGTCCAGGTGGGAGGATGTGCAACATGGAGCACGTGCAACATGGAGAGAATGCAGTGGAGAGGATGTGCAGGGGGAGGACATGCAGCATAGAGGCTGTGCAGTGTGGAGGATGTCCGGGGGGAAGCACGTGCAGTATGAATGATATGCAGCGTGGAAGCTGTGCAGTGGGGAGGGTGTGCAGTATGAATGGCATGCAGCATGAAGGCTGTGCAGTGTGGAAGGCATGCCCCATGGAATCTGGGTATCTGCCCAGTTGCACCTCATCACACATGGCCCTGTCGACTCCACTCTCCATCCCTCACTGAAAACATGTGGCTTTGGGGGTGTCAGGGAGCTGATTTTGGAACTGCTGAGCTTCAGAAGGGGCTGTCTCTGCAGGAGATGCTCAGAAGGTTCAACCTGTGACAAACTAACCCGTGTCCAAGACCCGAGAGCAGCAGAGCCAGGCTGGGGAACGGCCATTTCTCCAGTGCGCAGCTCAGCCCTTGACCTCAGGGAGCGCAGCAGCCATGGGTCCCGACGTATCCTTGCACAAAACCAAAAAGTCTGCCTGTGTTTATTTATTTTTTAGTTTCTTTATTTTTAGTTTACAAATGGTGTTATTACTATCTTTATTGTCATTGTCATTTCTGTTTTACAAAGGACAAAGCTGAGGCTCCAAGAGGTTAAAACACGTCCACTCACAAATCATCCTGTGAGTGGCTGCTGGAGTCTGGAATCTCTGATGCCAACTGCTCACCTAGGGCTCTGAGCTGCGTGCTGGGTTTGCACATGGCTGCTTTGGCTGCACACAAACCCCACTTTGCCTCCACTGCTTCTCATGAGAAGATGAGTTGTCTTCCTCCCCTCTCCCTGCCAGGGACTCTGATGATTCTGCTTCTTGCTAAGTCTGTCTCATGGTGGTGATGGAAAGAGGCCTGTGGCAACAGTGAGGTTTTTCCCGATCTTAGTCAATGCTTGGGGAACTGTTGCCCCGGACCATGTAGGCACATGGAAGCATTGCCTTCCATCTTTAGAAATAGCTTTAGCATTACCCCAAGAAGCAAAGATTTAGCTTTCAGGGCACTCCCCCAAAATCTTCACAGATTTTAATTTAGAAGCATAAAGGAATCACACTCTGTAAATTACCAAGCTGAGGCTAGATGACACCAAAATAATTTGTCAACTTTGATTGAAATAGATTTTAAAAACTCAGGGCTGGGCATGGTGGTTCACACCTGTTATCTCAGCACTTTGGGAGGCTGAGGTGGAAAGATCACTTGAGGTCAGGAGTTCGAGACCCGCCTGGCCAACATGGTGAAACCCCGTCTCTACTAAAAAAAAAAAAAAAAATAGCGGAGCTTCGTGGTGCATGCCTGTAGTCTCAGTTACTCAGGAGGCTAAGGCAGAAGATTGCTTGAACCGAGGAAGTGGAGGTTGCAGTGAGCCAAGATTGCATCACTGCACTCCAGTCTGGGCGACAGAGTGAGGCTCCATCTCAAAAAACAAACAAACAACCAAACAACCAAACTCAGACAAATTATAGGGTAGACAAAAACAC